AGCTATGCGTTGGTCCCAACTTGACAGCAATGAGTTTGAGGGAGTTAAAACTTTGCATGTTGGTTGAGTTGTAACCTGTTACTTCCTTAATAAACTCCTCAACTGTGAGGGAATAAAAAGATTTTGTACTTCACTATAAGCATGTCATAAACTAATACTTATGATTTTTATTTAAAGTGTATGTTTGTGCTTTTTCTTCTGGGAGTGGGTTCTGTAGCTTCAGACAGATGCTCTAAATCAGAAGCTGTTTTGAGGAACCACCAGGGTGAGGTGAGGTCCCTGGATGGTGTAAATGGTTTGCACTCGACACCACTTAGATGGTTGGCACTTCAAACTCACCCAGTGGTGCCCCAGGAGAAAGGCCTGGTAATCTGCTTCCAGAGACTACAGCCAAGAAAAGCCTACAGCACTCGGTTTCACTCTGTAATTTATGGAGTCAGAACTGACCCTCATAGCAATGGGTACTGACTCTCTGAGGGGGGTGGGGGCTGCACACAGGAGCCCGTGTGGCCTTGGGCAGGTGTCTGCCTCTTTTTGAGTCTCTGTGGACAACGTGATAAAACTGTATCTGGGGTCTTGAGGATGATGTCTCGGGGAAGGGGGACCCTCTGTGTGTGCTGCTGCGGGACCCCAGCCCCGTGCTTTAGGCTATGTGCTAGGTAGGATTTTGTTTAAGGCAGTAGGATGAATATAAATGCTCTTTGTATGTGTGCATGTACTTGTGGGGGGTGCGCGCGCACGTGTGTGTGTGTGTGTGTGTGTGTGTGTGTGAGAGAGAGAGAGAGAGAGAAAGAAAAAAGAAAGATGGACATAGAGACAGGAGAGAGAGAGACAAAGAAACACAAAAACACACATGGAGAGAGAGAGAGTAAGAAAGATAGAAGAAAGAGAAAGACACAAAGAGGAGGAGAGAGAGACAGAGACACAGAGAGGAAGAAGAAAGAGAAGGAGACAAAGAGACAAGAAGAGAGAGAGCGCCCATGCGCACATACACCTCGCAGGCATGGATGACCTCTGGAACTTCTCCATCACTTCCCCTCTGTTCACTGTACGTGAACCACACTGCACAGACCGCCCTCCTGGCCTCTGGGTTAGCAGGGTGGGACTAGGCCACCAGCGGTCTCTTCTACCCTCTTAGCCCTTGAACACATGAGCCCACCTTCCCGGAGCACCCTACATCTCCTGAGTTCTTCCTTCAGACACCTTTCCCCGGCCACCCTCGGCTGGGTCAGGTGCCTGTCTCTATTCCCATCATCTTCTCAGCTTCCCTATCCCAGCCCCGCCGGCTCTGTGTCATTGCTGGTATCTGTCTCCCCCATGGGGCCGTGAGATCCATGTGGGCGAGACTTGGGGTTATCTCAGTCACCACAGAGTTCCCCAGCTCTGTCCTGCACAGAGCTGATTCTGAGATGCTCGGAGAATTATGCGCTAAACGGATGAATAGAAAGGTGTCAGCCTGGAATGGGTGGAAACACTCGTCTTGCGAAGTCAACAACTCAACTCACTGCCTTTGAGTTGGAACTGACTCACAGCTCACCTTCCTCCAGTGGGTTTTTCAAGGCTGTAAAGGGAGAAGATTGCCCATCTTTCTCGTTCAGAGCAGCTGGTGGATTAGAAAGGTGACCCAACGGAGTGTGGAAACTATAGAACAATCTCATTGATTTCACATGCAAGCAAGATTCTGCTGCAGATTATCCAAAACCGACTGGAACAGCACATCAGCAGAGAACTGCCAGAAGTCCAGGCTGGGTTTAGAAGGGGT